ATGAGAAATTGAAATGGAGGAAGTGAGTGGGAACAGGGGTTCAGCTTTTGCGATGTGTAGAATCGCGAATGGAGAGAGGAGAATAGAAGTTAAAGTGGTTCATCGTGGTCCAGCGACGTCTCACCTGAGAATAATGATTTATGGGGCGAATCTGGTTCACTTGAATGACAATGGCAAAAAGTGGCCTTTGGAACAGAGAGTTTATAGTTCTGTATAGAGTGCAGAGTTTTGTCTTCCTTCCGTGCAGAGTGAAGCAAACATGAAAATTGTAACTTCAAAAATTCCACACTGATCACAGCATTATTAAATTATTTTTTGAATCACGTCGTTCAGCTTTCAACCTAAGGTAAATCAGGAAAAATGTTCAAAAACCTGAAAAAGATCGCGCATGTGCGAAGAAATGTGGTGAGGTTCGTTCCCGAACTACGCTATCCTACACGGCCTACGAAAAAAGTAAATTGTGCTGTCGTCAATGTGTTAGAATAAATTTCAATTAGATTCATGATTTTATGTCAATTATTGATAAGCCATAACTCTACGGTTAGCAGAATTCTGCACGAGGCCATGGGATACCTCCTCCACCCACGTTGATGAGTAGTCCACCCGCAGGCCCGGTGCCACAGTTGCTACAGAACTGTGGAATGGGCGAGCTGCAACAGACCATGTTCTGTAATCCCACATACCATTCGGTACAGCAGGTAGTCTTAAGAGAAAACACTCGGAGTGGCGTGTTAGTGGCACAGTTTTTTCTTTGTGAACGTTTTGCACGGTTGTTCACTTTATTCAAACCCTCCCATGTTTTGTATTTCATCGGAGCGTAGTAGCTTTTTGTTTATTCGCTTAAAATGTGCGAGCTCTGGAGCGTACTTACGGAGCACGCATTGCTTTTGGCCAAGATGTGTGAAAATTTCCGTTGTATACATTCTATTTAGTGTGCTTGCGTGGCGAGTGGCGTAACCATATTTTGTCAGATTGTTGTAGGTGATCGTGAATATCGTGCTATAACATCTGTAGTGAATTGCAAAGTCTCATCACGAGCCTCCAATTTTACAATTTTTGAACCAATTCCGTGATGAGACTGGTTGAGGATTGAATATATTGTATTTTCAAGTGCTTGCAGGAAGGAGATTGTGTCACAGCTACCATCGTCCAAGACATTAGTGATGGCGAAGCAGATATTCATGGACCGCCTCAACAGGTAATATTACTTCCGCTTTGATATTGCTTCTCGTTGTGCTTCTCGGAAATGTATGAGAGTTCTAGGTACTCAGCCCCGCTCCAATCGATCGTACAAGTCTAAGTCCTCCCAGTGACACTGAATTGCGGAATGCCATCGATACTCACCCCGCTTTTGGATGTGAGTATATTTCTCTCTCTTCTTTTTTCCCCTTTTTTTCGGCCATTGGCGCGTTTATTTCTTGAAGTGAGTGGCCATCAAATGCTCTGATTCATGGTTTATTTGTTATAATAGGAAATCAGAAACAAGCAGCAGAACGTCAAGAAGTAATTAAAGGTAAAACGATGTATGAAGCACAGGCATAGCCTTCTGTTTGAATCAGCGCTGTTAAATGTCAGACTCGGGCCACAGCTCTTCTTTTTGCTTTTTGTGTAGAAGAGGCATTTACAGTGATGTATATCCTTGAGTTCTAAAATTTTTCTTTTTCCAAAATTTTACCCATGTTCTGATGGCGAAACTAATTAATGGTACCGAGAAGCGTTTTTTGCCGTCTAGCTATGCAAATATAAGTATCCAGGGGGTATTACAGCTGCTGGACTTTTCTGTCCAGTAACTGTAAATAACACAGGCGAGACACATTGACGTAATAGCAATCAGTAGTGTTGCCTGGGTCAGTATCGACATCTGCTGTCAAAGAATTACAGACGAAGCCTAAAATATTGTGTTGTTTGACTGAGAGATTCCAGAAATTCTGTTTTTATCGTTTTGGCCGGCTGCTCTACTTTTAATTGCTTCCATGGCTTCCAAGTTGTCCGCAATTTGTCTGTAAACAACGTCAAGGAAGCTCATGAATCTAGTAGCAGGGAGGGGGAAAGTTTGCAAAAATGGGGAGTATCAAGCATCAAAAGTATTTATCGTAAGTGGAATTGGAAATGGAAATTTTCTGAATTTCTAAAGTCGAAACGTGTCTTCACATAGCATACAACTTAACTCATAAAAGGAGGTCTCTTCAGGACAAGCCGCGCTTTTTGGAAACAGTTCCTTGCATATTGTAGGGACGCATCAATCACAAAACCATGTTTCCTGTTCGCTGAACGGTTTTAGTAGTATTTGTGTTAGTTTCTTGTGCCGTACGAGGTTTTTAGGTGGAACATTTATTAGTTCGGCCTAACGTTTCGACAAAATCGTCGTCTTCTGAGGCCTAAATGCGGTTCAAGGTTTAGACTTACGTTCTAATCCACCAAGCGCCTTATCCACTCTAGCGGTTCCGACATTCTGTCAGAACCTCCACCGAGAAACACAAGAAAAATAATTTTGACTCACCCAAGGGTTCCACCGTTCGCGCGGGAGTCCCGCTACCACATATAGACGCTGCTCAGTAAAAAATAATGCACACCGCACTGTCTCTTGATTCCAGTGTTCATTGCAGGACGCACGTACGCTTTATTCTATAGCTCGCAGTGCGGTATATACGGCGAAAGATCACTTGTTATTGAAGGACGCTCATCTCGGCCGTTCATTGCTGGATTTCTGGAAGAAATCCAGAATGCTTCCAGTGCTTTTCTCGCTACAATTTCTGTCTCATGCGCCAACACCGTACACTTGATTTCAAATTCAACGCCATTGTGCTCCTCGAACTTATGCCTTCCAAGAGCTGATGAACGAGTACCGCGTCTCATGCTAGCGAGGTGTTCTTTGATGCGAATAGCTAGTACCCTCCCTGTTTCTCCAATATAGGTTGCGTTACAAGTCTGGCATTCTATTTGGTAAATTACTCCGCTGTATGCACAATCTCCTACTTTACCGTATGGACAAATAACACAACCGTCTGACACACACTGCCTATCATAGAGCCTGTTTCGCACTAGTTGCCGTCCGATGTTTTCATTGGGAATATTAACCAGCTGAACATCGTTCTGCAGCTGTGCTCTTCTAATGCTCCGTTGAATAGCAGTGCTCACTTTGTCAGATATAAAGGGGAGACATAAGGGTAACTTATTTTGACGCGGCACCCCTCTTGGGGAGATATGCTCACTCTGGTGTCTTTGTACCGCATAGCCATTTGCAATGGCTATTTTCATAGCTAATTGTCGTGATTCACGCCTTTCAACATCACCAGTGCTCACCACAGTCGCGGTTCTGAACATATTTCTGACAACGGCGCGTTTGACGGCGATTGGGTGAGCCGAAGTAGCATGAATCAGAATGTTTTTCGAGCTACTTTTGCGGTACCATTTCACATGTGCGATGCCACTGGATAATTTAACTTGCGTGTTGAGGTAGGGCAACCAACCGTCGTGTGGTGTTTCGCGAGTGAGCTTGATGTACTGTGACTGCTCATTCATCAGTCGGAAACACTCATCCATTTCGGACTGTGTCGACGTAATAATGAAACAGTCGTCAATATATCTACAGTACATCAAAGGTAGAGCGTGCAAGCACCGGTTCTTCAATTTTGCTCATGAACACAACAGCAAGGACTGGTGCTAAGCGTTTTAGTTAGTATTAAAAAGGTTTTGAATGGTTGGTGAATTGGTGCCCTCGTGTTTCCATCTGTTCGAGGGATGCCGACTGAATGCTTGCAATCATGGTGGCTAAAATCGTTCAGCGAGCACGAAACATGGTTTTGTGTTCTCTACATGCGTCCCTACAATACGCAAAACCGTTCTGAGAAAGCGTGGCTTGCCCTGAAAGAGCCCCCCTTGTCAGTTTACCGTACTAGTTTTTCTAATTTGTCTTCCGGGCATCCAAAATTCATTTTGATTCATTTTTACTCTTGTGCGCATGTATTCATAAGAGAAGCAGATCTTGAAAAAAGTAATGCGAGGAAAGCATCAAGCACTCGGTCTGCAATTCAAATGCTATAATTTGTTAATTTACTGGTCGCTCACAGTGTGAAGGGCGACAAATGCATTATTTCGGGATGGTTTCAATTTTTGTCTTTACAATTGTTATCTCTAATGAATCTCGAAAAGATGATTGAAAGAATGAGGTTTGGTAAACAGTGATTGAATTGTGGTCTTTGCTTTTTTCAAAAACTCATTACTTCTTCGTTCAGTCGCAGATACTCCATTGTCACCATCGAATCCCTTTTCTATGCAACAACTTCCATCCGTCTTGCCTACTCCCCCTGTGGGACCAAATTTGAACGATCCCTACGCTGACATAGAAGTAAGTTTAATGTTGCGCGAGAAAATGTCGATTGTTCCCCTATCACTCATTTAATTACAGGTAAAAATAGCTGATCTGGGCAACGCATGTTGGACCCACCACCATTTCACAGAAGACATACAAACAAGGCAGTATCGGTCGTTAGAGGTTTTAATAGGAGCCGGTTATGGCCCTCCTGCCGACATTTGGAGTACCGCATGCATGGTGAGTGCGCTTATTTTCACTTGAGAATTAGGAGCATCGCTTGACCAAGAAGCCGTTTCAGGCGTTCGAACTCGCAACGGGCGATTACCTTTTTGAACCGCACAACGGTGATAACTACTCTCGGGATGAAGATCACCTTGCTCATATTTGCGAATTACTTGGATCAATTCCTCCGTCTGTATATAAAAAGGGACAACATTGGAAAGAGTTTTTCAACAAGGTACGGGATCAGTTGAGCTTTAAATTTGAAATAGATTAGCAAGATTTTATTGTAGCAAGGTCGTCTCCTTCATATACATCAACTGAAGCCATGGCCTCTTCTTGACGTTCTTCGTCAAAAATATGATTGGCCTTTCGAGCAGGCTCGGCAGTTTGCTTCCTTCCTCATTCCGATGCTCGCGTTTGACCAGGTAAATTTATGATTATTCAACGTATTTTAGACTTGTCTTTGATTTTATTATACGAATATCTTGCTGCTGCTTCAATGTTTTGCTCTTCTGTAATGGTCCAACGCTCGCTCTCTCTCTTCGTGCTTTCCGAGACACTGCACTGCGAAGTGTCCGCAGTGTCCGCTTGGGGGGGGGGGGGGGGGGGTTATGGTCTCTCACAGTGCTGAGCGTCCTTGCTATCATAGTTTTTGCATATTGATATGCTATGCATAACACTAATTTCATTCACTCTTGTTGGTAGCTGTCTGACGAAAATCGCAGCGTTGCAATTCCAGGCCACGAAGAAGTTTTCAGTCATATTAGGGCGCTGTGTCATATTTTTATAATTTCGGTACTTTTTTCTCACCAAGGGGCTGCGTTTTGACCTCGAAGTGGACCCGAAATTGACGTTTTGACTAGGACTAGACTGGAGGCGTGACATTTTCCCTTAAATAGCTATCAAGGCAAATCCAGCCGCCATTCGTGTTCATATATCGCAACTTTGGGCGAACTGACGCGTTGGTGAAAATTGGTGGTGCACAAGTGTTGTCGCTTTTACGTTTCCAAGGTCGGCGTGCCATAGGTGTTTCCTGATAATATGAGGAACAGTGGAAGATATTCACCTATGCCTCGTATTTACAAGAAGTTAACTTCCGTTCTCAATTGTTTTAGTTGCTTTTTGGTTTCGCTTTTACACGAAACGCAACCCCTCCTCTCATATCAACAAGAGAGTTGCATTAAAATTGATGAGCAATAACTCCACACATTGCCAGAAAATGTTTTCAGTCACCATTCACCACCACTTTCACCTGCTGTTGTCCATTTCTTTGATTAGTGCTTGCTCTATCACATGTCAAACAGGGCGCCATTTGTTGATGGTTTCTGAGCAGATTTCTTTCAGCAAATGAAATAGAGAAACTAACTGTCTCTCAAAGAACGCTCGTAAAGTTAGGGGTTTTGGTATTATTATATTTCTGAGATTCAAAGAAAAATTCTTTGCAACTTTAAGTGGAGTCAGTCGTTCTCACTCTTCTTCTTGCACTAACTTTCATCGGCGTGAATAGCCTAAAAGATCGAATTAGAGAGCCTTAAATTCAACAAATATGTTGCATATTTCCGGAAGTATTGTTGGGGACAGTGGCCCGTAACTTAGGATTGTTTTTTCATCTATCATTCTTTCTTTTTAACAGCTTTTTTCTTGACTTAATCAACAAAGCAATGCGTTGTCTCGAAATTCGGGGTTGGTGTTCTCTATCGTTGCCATCTGCCTCCTCCATGGGGGCGGTTAGCCTATTGTGACTCAAACATTCTGGTTGCTATGCAAGAAGAAATGGCACATGTGCTATATTGCTGTGAAACTTCAGGGAGGTTCACGGAGGTGACATTGCTGGGGAAAAGTTTTTCACTTTGTTACTAACAAATTTGAAAAAGAAGGTTGCTCGTAGGAAGAGTTCCATTGATTTTGTTAGCAGAGCTCGCTTAAACATCCCATTAAGTAATTATTTTCAGGATGAGAGGATCACTGCTGCTCAAGCGCTGGAGCATGACTGGTTGAAACCGTTTGGAGGAAAACCTCCGCCACCTGATGTACCTCTAGAGGTATGTATTAAAATGCGTGTTTCTTAAATCATGAAAACGCTTCTATTGATTTGAATTTAGGTACTGAGGAGGATATATCCAAATGGAGAGATACCAGGAGCGAGGCCGGCAAACTCCAACACAGCAGTTGTGAACGGTAGCGATGTGCGAGAAATGGACGTGGACCTTGAGCAAGCGGATTGCCGATGTGACGAGCTGCTCGAAGGTGCTGCAGGTGCCGAAGTATAGGTGCAATCGCTTTCTGCTTCCTTGTTTGCCTAGATCATATATGTCTTCATCATTGTTTCACACATCTCTATGAAATCTTATGATCGCCAACCCTCGAATTGTAAAGTAATTTAGCTTATCGTCGTAATTCCTTCACTCCAGATGCACAGTTCGACGAATGTGGTGTCTGTAATCTCCTGTTTTATGGGTCCAGATATCACTTCTGTGATTGACGAACGACAGCCTTTATACTGTCCCTGTTTCCAGCACTCCGTCCTCCTTTCGAATTACCCATCCATTATTTATAATAATATCGGCTCGGTGTCGGTGTACCGCACTGTTTAGTGGAACGATATCGACGGAATGAAGTGATGTGATTTGCTATTGTTCTCTCAACGACGATATCTGATCTCCTCTAATCAGTCAAAAAATGGAGATGGCAGCGCGAGCGCATGGCGTAATGGCACGGCACATGTGCTACACATGCATTCCTCGTCCACTTGTATAGCGTGCATGTTAGCCCGTTCGCTTCGTTTTTGCATAAATATTGCGAGGAGATTGCCAGCTTTTCTCACACTTCTTAGCCCTTCTTTTACATTATTTTTTTCCGTTTGTTCAATGTGCCGTTTCATTTTGGCAGCTCTTCCTTCTTCATAGATGTATTATAAGAACGGTTTTGAATCTAATAGTGTGATGGAATTTGTTCCTGTTATATTAACATTCTCTACCACAACAGTAATCGCTTGGTTGCGGTTGTTTCTCGTAGTCAGAAGATTGTGTGTGTATGTGTGCGT